TCAGCCCTCCTCTCAGCATGTGGATGTCGTAGCTCATGTCCCCACGCAGAGAAGAGGGACAAGGAAAAACTTGTAGCTGGCGAGAGCTCAGGTTGAAAGGAGGAGGAGACGCAGACAAGCCATTGCCATTGTTGTGTAATAGAGGAGATAAGCTCCCTCAAAGATGACAACCCACTGAGATTGACATATCCACAGAATCCTGAAAAACCCAGAATTTGGAAAAGTGGTTTTGTTGACTATATTTCCCAGTAGCCCTTCTGGTTTGGTAATTCTGGGAGATTTTAGTCCAACAAAGCAAATTCTATACTCGTTCGTCAAAAACTGAAATCATTCTGATTGATAACCCTATCAAATCTCATATGATCAGAAGGAAAAATATGGTCATACCATTAAAAGTCTATAAAGAGAAGTAAGACACATTTATAATTAGTTTGATGTCCCATTCAACTTCTTGTGATGTTTTAGCTGATTTCACAACATGCTTTCCCTGCAAATGAAATGCACAATATCTAGTGCCTTTGGGCATCCTGCTGCGGGGTAGCTTATATAACATCCCTTGGATAACTTTTGCTAAGTGCATCTCTAGCAGAATCCTGCTGACTGTGTGTTGTGGGCTCTTTTTTATTGCTGAAGTTCAGTCTGAAATTGAGATTATGTAATAAACCACCATGCATTCAAAGCTTGAATTGAAAGCTTGATTAGGCTACTGTCCAAAAAATGCTTACTCTAAAGATTTAGTCTCAAGAGAAAAAGAAATGGTCTGAGGAAAATACATTTCAGTTGAATGTAGTGGGATTTGCTGGTGAATAAATTGTCAGCTGGCTGCTTAATCAAAGAACACGAAACACATTGCATCCCAATATTATGCGACATTGTGTTTATGTTGCATTAGGAGATTCCAGTTTTGCCTCATCTGGAACAGCCACCATGAAGGGTTTGCAGAGTCAACTGAAATAGGGGAAGCCCAAGAAAATGATAGTTTGATAGGTTATAAGAACATTGTGTTCTGTCCCAGAATGACTCTTCTTCTATTCTGTGGTGTTAACATTGTGTTCACAAATTGGCCAAACCAGGTGCCTTTTGGGATGGGTTAGCTCTGGTTAGTATCTCAATGGGACAACAAATAGTAGATATTTTCGAGGAAGAAACTGAAAAAACCACTTCTGAGTATTTCTTGCCTAAGAAGATCCTATGGACTTCAAGGTGACTTGAACATACATACATTCATTGACCTCTTTGAATACATTGACTTATTTGAGTGCATACACACACATAGATGGAAAGCCCTTGCACAGCAAAAGACTACAGTCACACCATACTATTTGTATTTAAACTACTTGTGCTTTGTAATGTTCCTGATCTCCAATATATTCAAAGCCAATTGAGTACATTCGAGCAATTCAGGACCTTATCACATTGATGAAGTCCAGCATTCCGATAGGTGAATGAGGGGGCAGAGGGGCAATCCCTGCCTGGCCACATGGGGAAGCATCGCCATACGGCTCCCCCCTCCCCCCCCCCTTGGTAGTAACCCTGTTCTTACAAATGGAACGTGGGAGGCTCCCATGTTGGCAGCACAGCATCCTACGATGCTTCTAGAAGTGGGGCTACGTCGTGTGATGGGCGGAGTGGGACTCCATGGATCAATTGGGGCAGAAGCGTCTTAGGACACTGAATTTCCATCATGTGATGAGGTCTTCAGTCCCATTGAAAATACTCAGCGGTACTTTTTTCACCACTATTTTTTGTGTTTTCACTTTCTATTAGTACTTTGGCACTGATTTTCCAAGCCTTTGTGGAATGATCATGAATTGAATGGGAAGATGTCCCTGTAGTCCCTTTTGGGAGATGGTGGCGGGATATAAATAAAGTTTGTTATTAGAAGGTAGTAGGTAGTCAGTCTGTCAGCCTCACTGAGCAAATGAAACTAGTTTTTTCTTCCTCTTTTAAAGTGATGTTAGGAATATGTTAGAATGTTCCATTACTACGCATCAGCCCAGTTTTGCTGAAAGAAAGATGTGTCTCTCATCTATCATACACTTTCACTTCCTTTTGCACAGTCAAGCCAAGAGTGGTATACACTGAAGAAGGGTGCAAAAATGTTTGCAAAATTCATTGACCTTTTGGGGCTCAGTTGTACATTCAGTACACAAACCACTAAGTAAATGTATCTATAAAAATAGTTTAGCTGGCTAGGAGATTCTGGAGTTGTAGGCTGAAAATTAACTTTTCCACCCACTGGACACGGCCTCCAAGAAAAGAAGTAATTGAGGAATAAATCAGCTGACTTGAATTTTCAAAGAGTTAAGTCTGGGGAGATATATATATATATATATATATATATACACACACACACACACACACACATATATACATACACACACATACACACACACACATATATACATACACACACATACACACACGTGTGTATTTTTGAGTTTGTAAAAATGAAGGGAAAATATAACACTCAGGTCATAGTGGTAAGAGTGCTAAATCTGGACTACTTTCACTAGACTCTCGTCTTTGTGTTTCTTTGTTATAATCTTGCTCTCTCGAGACAGAAGCTGGGAATGAGTGTCTCTGAAATATTAATAATTCCTAATAGGTCTTTGTCACATGAGGCTGCCTTTGTGATGATACTCCCTCGCTCTCATCTCTCTCCCCCCTAAAAAAAACAGGGAGTTAATTGAATCAATGAAGTGAATAGCATAGCCATCCAGCATATGCTGACTTTTCCTATCAGCCCCAGTCATTACTGGAGGACCCATTGTCACTCATCATTGCTTGATTACACCACTTGGCCTGCGAGGGGATTTGATGGGAAGTGTCCAATGGGGTACAGGCTGTTCCCAAAGCTAGCTTTGCAAAGCTCCCGATAAAAGGGGGATTCCATTAATAAGGCAGCAAAGGTTACAACAAGAGGCATTGCAGCAGATCTGGAAAGAGGTAAGGTGATCATTTTCTCTGAGGCTTAGAGGAACAAATGGGGCCCCAGGAGGCTGTTGACAGGGGTTGCGATAGTTTTCCTTGTTTTTTTGCAGCAGACTAACTGAGAAGAGAGACTTTTAAAATGAAATGCGAACTTAAGAAAGCACTTACGTAGTCCCATTGTTGCTCCTACAGCAACTGTTTCTATAAGGACCAGTTCCTAACTTGAATTGCACTGGGGGGAATGCTTATGTAGGAGGCATGCTGTGGCTTTTGTATCATTGTAGAGAAGCTGGCTGTTTTGATCCAACAAGGTCTTGCAATTGTAAACAGCCAAGGAAACTGTGAAGGGGTTGGCAGCTGAGTTAGTGTAGCGAAAGGATGGGCAGATAATTTGCGGTACAGTGATTGCCAGCCCTGCACACAGGTGTGAAAGGGACAGCTGCAGAATGAGAGACCCCAAAAACAAACCACGGAGAGCTTTTGAACAATATAGGATAGCAGACATATAGATGCAAGCTTCCCCCTGCCCCCCTTTTTCTGTGCCTTTGTGAACCCGGCTGCAAACCTCGGCACATCAAAGACTTGCATCTTTTCCTTTGGCCTGCAGCTGAGAGAGGGGAGAGCGAATAGTGGCAGCTGTTGGGAAGTATGGCCCATTTGCTTTATTGATGCCACTTTGGGAATGAGATCTGGTTCCTCTGGAAGAGAAAATTTATAGTGAAAGGACAGAGTGGAGAATATAGAAGCTGGAGGAAAATAGTCGACATGTTTATCATGAACACGTAGGTAACGAAAAAAGGCATACTAATGATAGGTCTGATCTGAAGCAAAAATAATCTGTTGGGTTTTTTGTTGCTGCTGTAGCTGTTTAAATGGATGGAGTTGTTCGTGCTCTTAAAGTCATAATCACTATTTTAATTTTAAATTTGCATGTTCATTTCTATCATTTCTCAACTGGCGCTACAGCATTAAAACCCAATCTTGGAAAAGTGACTTCATGGCAGTGCAACTCAGAATCCCCCTGTGTCCATGCTGGCAGGGCTGTTTTGATAATGTTAATCCAGGTGGCAAAATAACTTGGGGTCAAATCTGAAATAAAGGTATGGCCAAGCTATCACAAAACTGGACACTATAACTAGACATTGTTTACCTCAGATTGGGTTGGGGGGGGGGGCGACACATTGCTAGGTGTTCCTCCCCACAAGGTCTGGCTTTACACTATAAAATTAATTCAGCTTGGCACAACTTTAACTGCCATGACTCTGCTATGGAATCCTGGGATTTGTAGTTTGGTGAAGCACCAGCATGCTTTGACAAAGAAGGCTCAAGACCTTGTAACATTACAGCTCCCGTGATTCCAGAGAATTGAGTCATGGCAGTTAAAAGTGGTGTCAAATTGCATTAACCTATAGTGTAATATGCCCCAAAACATTTCTTTCAGACACAAAAATTAGCCCATAAAGGAGAAGTGTGTTGTTATAGCCTTCTTTCTGATATGCTAAGTTTCACTGTGGCAGGAACTTCCTGTATGGCAACTTGTCTCAGTTTGATGTAGTATTATCTATAGACAGATTTACCATTTCATATATTGTTTATAAAGAAATATTGATGCTTGCAGAATCAGGGCAGCAAGAGAGAAAGACAGAAGAGAAAAAGAAATGAAAGACAGGAATCCTGCTTATTTTTTGGCATAGTCCTCATCAGTGTTTCTTTGTAGAAGTAAAGTATGATTGATTGGACAGAATATGAAAGATTGAATTTGATGGAGCTGATTGATAAAATAAAATCAAAACCTGAAATGAGAAAAATGGCAAACTACTAATTTCTTAACTAATTTTAAAGTGACCTAAAGCTGATGACATGTTATTTTCTTCCTTTATATCTCTATATCTATGGGGGGGGGGGGAGGGGGAGATCAGGGTACTGAATGACAAGTAGGCCTATGTAAGTCTCACAAGTGGAGGATAATTATTTTATTTCTTCTTTAGCCATGTCAGTGAGATCTGCTCTTATTCTTCGACTTCTTTTGCATTGGTGTAATATTATCTTTTCCTCCCTTCTCACAGTTATCCATGAAGGAGGTCGGGGATGGGCTGCATGAACAGATGAACTCCATGATGGGTGCCCTGCAAGAGCTGAAACTCCTCCAAGTCCAGACAGCTTTGGAACAGTTGGAGATTTCAAGCAACCCACACCAGGTTTCAGGACTTGGCCACCATCAATATTGTCAAAGCAATAAGGAGTTGCCAAGGGCAAGGAGAGAAGTCAGCAGGCAGAGTGAAAAACTGTTGGGAAATAGTTATTTGGATGGCTGCAGTTCCTCGGCCTCTTTGTGCTCTACTCAGGTGTCACACTGCTCCAGCCCACTTTGCCACATTACTTTGCCAGACAGTAGCCATGGGCACATGGCATCATCCCTTAACAGCATAGGTAGTGAAGAATACTATCATGCCAGTGGTCCTTCGTCAACAGTAAGTACTGCAGAGTATCATTCATCAACAACATTTGAATCATCCACTGAGCATATGTCTAGGAGTTGGTTTTCCCAAGACACAAGCAGCTTCTCTGAAAGTAAATCAGGTTGCCATGGGTGTCATTTTTCTGATGAGACCAACGATTGGACTTCATCACTCATGTCTCAAAGCAGGAATCGACAGCCTTTGGTCCTGGGTGATAACATCTTTGCCGATTTGGTTGGGAACTGGTTGGATTTGCCTGAGATAGACAAAAAGGGAGAGAAGAATGAGACATCTTTGCCAACCAGCAGGTCCCAGGAGTTCTACAGAAAGTTTACCCTCACAGCCAATATCTTCAAGAAGTTCTTAAGGAGTGTTCGGCCAGACCGAGACAGGTTGCTCAAGGAGAAGCCATGCTGGTTGCCAACAGAAGACAAAGAAGCTGAAATCTTAAAGAGGCCCAAAAAAGTAAACAAACAGAAGGGGACCTTTTATTTTCCAACCCATGGGAACCTACCAAATGCTCAGGACAAAGCAGAAAGGTGCCAAAAGAAGGAAACCAGCAAGGCCAAGGCCAAACACTGTGCTAAGAAGATGCATAACACAATAGAGTACACTCAAACGGGGTTTGATTTTAACACAGCTGTGTGGGTTTAAACTCCTGGGACTCATCATCTTATTTGCCAAAACTCTTCAGTTCCAAACAAGAGATAAACCAAAAGCATTATCTGTCATACATGGAATCATGTGAGAAAAAGAAGGAGAAAGTGGTTTCCATAAAACAAACATGGACACAAATCATTTCCACAACACAGCTTATGTACTTTTTTGATAAGGGGAATCTGATTGTACAGAAAAGCTCTCCAAAGCTAATGCTGCAGAGAGAGTCCTTCAGAGTTTGGGATGGGTGAATTTCAGAGGAGGTCTAGCCCCTCTGTTTTTCCACCTATAAAGGCTTCACGTTTGCCAAACATAATCAGTTCATTTCTACTGCAGGTGGCAACAGAATGTTAGAGGTGGTTGGGTGTGTTTGTATGGTGTGTGGATGTGTGTTTTTTAATTCTTTTTCTTGTGTGCACTAAATCCTGGTTTATGCACCAGGCAAACAAATGAGCACTTAATAGTTAAATTAAGAGTGAGGCATGGATCTGTAAGAATAGAAAGACTGTGTGACTTGAATAGCGGCTGAGTGAAGTTGGTACAGCCAGTCATCACACTGCATTTTGACTGTTTTTTCTAAAGTATTATTTCTGGCTCACCCCTCATGATCTTCACTGTACTAGAATGTGTCTAAGGAGTGCTATGTAGTAGGTAGTCATGCCGCCACAGAAACTTTTAGGATTAGCAGAAGTTCTTCACCTGTTCATTTTGCCCTCAGAGCCTTAAACTCTTGATGCCACACTGAGGTCCCATATTGCAGTTGATCCCTTTCCTGGTTTTGTTGTTCTCTTTTACATTTCTTACTGTGTATGACTTTTGTCTTGTGAAAATTAGTTTTCCTGTGGTCCACTCTCTGACTGTATTAATAAAGTGATGTTCATATCTCCAGTTGTAGTCAGGTGGGCCTGTTTTTAATCACTCCTCACCCCATACATATACATGGCTGCTTTTTGTTTTATTGTATTTGTGTAAATATAACAAAAGTGCAACATTTTTGTCATGTGCTTGTGGAATATTTGTGAATATCAAGAAATATCTGCAGCCACAATGGTATGTATTAAACCGAATGCAGGAAAGCTGTGATTAGGTGCACCAAAATGTAATACTATTGAATGCATGCCCTAGTTGTCACAAACGTTAGGAGGTAAGCTTGTAACTGAAGGTATTTGACTGATACATCCTCTAATTTTGCATCAGAATTTACCTTGCATTTTAGTTCTGTCTTTTTATTTACTACTAGCTTGGGGACCCGGCGTTGCCCAGGTTATTAGAGAAAGTGGGTAATGGCGGTTCTGTATGGCAAGTTTGGTCTTTATTGG